TGTGACATATAGACTCAAAATGGTGACTTATGGTACTAAAAGTGCTCCATTTTTAGCCATTAGATGCATAAAGCAAGTTGCATATGACGAAATGCATAAATATCCTGAAGCTGCCAAAGCTGTCTTGTCAGACTGTTATGTTGATGATGTCATCTCTGGTTCATCAAACTTAGCAAGGGAATTGAAAAAGCAGCTTATACAGCTTTTTCATAGTTGGGGAATGACTTTGCACAAATGGAACTCTAATTCTCCTGAACTGTTGGATAGCCCTCTTACAAGCTCTGAGCTTTCATTCTCCTCCAAAAGTGATAATGTGGTTAAAGCTTTAGGTATTACATGGAATTCTCAGAAGGATGAATTCAACTTTAAAGTCTCAATCAAGGAGAAATAATCATATACCAAAAGAGACATTTTATCGACAATTGCCAGACATTATGATCCTTTAGGACTGATTGGTCCGGTAATCACCAAAGCCAAAGTATTTTTACAGAAATTATGGGTTCAAAAACTGAGTTGGGATGAACCACTTTTTTCAACTATTGCTCACGAATGGCAACAGATAGTTTCAAATTTAAAGATTGTGGAAAACATAAAAATTAATCGTTGCATCCTCTCCAATCATCCAAGCAAGATTTCACTCATTGGATATGCAGATGCTTCGGAAGCCGCTTATGGTGCAGTTGTCTACTTAATTTGTGTCGATGAAGATCACGGCTCGTCATCTCATCTTCTAGCCAGCAAATCTCGTGTGGCTCCATTGAAAACTTTATCTATTCCAAGATTGGAACTTTATGCATGCTTGTTATTGGCTCATCTGATTTCGAAAGTTAGCAACTCATTGAAGATGCATTTAGATGACATCATTCTGTGCACTGATTCAACGATAGCACTGTCATGGTTGAAGACTTCTCCTCATCTTTTGAAGACCTTTGTTGCAAATAGAGTCTCCAAAATCCAAAGACTAGTAGAGCCACGACAATGGAAGCATGTATCATCAGAAAATAATCCGGCAGATCTGATTTCTCGTGGTGCTTATCCTCATGAACTTGTGACATCTTCCTTGTGGTGGAATGGTCCTGAACGGAACGAACTTAGTGATGCTTCTTTATTTGAACTTGACAAGACTCTCATAGATTCTCCTGCTTATCAGGATGAACTTGAAAAACCTTTAGACGTTAATTTGAACTGCAATTTAAACTTGTTTTGGAATACCTTTTTTGAATTAACAAATAATTATGTTAAACTAATTAGAATTTTAAGTCTTATTTTCAGGTTTCTGTCCAATCTAAAAGGTCCAGTGAAGAAAACAGGCCCCATTAGTAGCACGGAATATCAAGATGCAGAAATGCACTTGATAAAAATGGTTCAGGTAATAGAATTTGCAGAGGAGATTAAATCACTTCAAGATCAGAGAGTAGTTATCAAAAGTCAGGTAAAAACTTTAAATCCATTTTTAGATGGAAAAGATATATTACGTGTGGGCGGTCGCTTAACTCATGCCACAATTAATTATGATTCTAAACATCAAATTTTATTGCCAAAAAATCATAAGCTTACCAAGCTAATATTTATTCATTATCATTTGAAAAATTTTCATGCTGGTCCTCAAGCATTATTACATTTTGTTAGGGAAAGGTTTTGGCCCACTGGTGGCAAGGACTTAGCTAGAAAAACAGTTCATGAATGTGTAATTTGTTTTCGTCATAAACCTATCATTTCAGATCAATTAATGGCCGATCCAAATCTAACCTTTCATAACACAGGGATAGATTTTGCAGGCCCTTTTTCTAATCAAATATAGAAATTAAAGGAAAGGTAGTTTACATAAAGTTTATATAACAATCTTTGTTTGCTTAGTTACAAAGGCGAGCTCATGTCTGTTTAGTGACAACGCAACTAATTTTGTAGGAGCTCACAAAGAATTAAAGAAGCTTGCTTCTTTAGTTACTGTCCCTGATGAAGTTTTGAGTAAGTATTTGGCATCTGAAAATATCTCTTGGAAATTTATTCCTCCTCGTGCCCCCCATTTTGGTGGAATTTAGGAGGCCGGAATCAAATCTTTTAAATTTCATCTTAAAAGAACTATTTCCGATGCAAAACTAACATATGAAGAATTTTTAACCGTAATTGATTAATTTGAAGGAATACTAAATTCGAGACCTCTTTCTCCTTTATCGTCTGAACCTTCAGATTACGAACCCTTGACGCCAGGTCACTTTTAAATAGGTAGGACCCATAAACTCAATTGTAGAATCTCAAATTTTGGACTTGTCAGAAAGTAGATTGTCAAGATGGCAAAAATTAACTAAAATGATACAGATTATATGGAAACGATGGATAACTGACTATCTTAATCACTTGCAACAACGAAAGAAATGGTATTTTTCAAAGGACAATTTAAAGAAAAATACAATGGTTATTATTAAAGATGATCAGTTACCTCCATTTTAATGGTTACTAGGAAGAATTGCTCAAACAATTCCTGGTAAAGATACGAGTAGCAGTGATTAACACAAAGTTTGGTCCAATTAAAAGGCCAATATCAAAAATTTGTTTATTGCCTATTGAGGATAACTTCAAGGATTAATTTCTATTGTTAATAAAATATACATTGTTCTTTATTATATTTTGGTAATTTTGATGAAAAAATGTCAATATTTTACTGTTTAAAATGTTGATATACTTACCATAATTATTGAAAAAAAAATTGCAAATTACCATAATTATTGAAAAAAAAAAACTTATGGAATTTTCTGAATTGTTTATTTCATTCTGTAAATTATTTACTAACTTTAAGTCTTTATTATTGCTTAAAAAAACTGAATAGCTGAATTGTTATCATTTGATATTGAATTGTATACTTATATTTAGTTTGCATATCATAGATATTGCAACGTGGGGCGGTATGTTGCCTCCTACGCGGCAATATAAATTATTTACAGCGCATTGTTTCTGCGCAACTTCAAAGTTATGTACAGCGCATTGTTTCTGCGCAATTTTTAGTTAGTTAAGATTCGAACTCCTAGCGTAGCATACATGTTTTTGATCCCGTATGGTCGGGAATTTATCATTTTCGATTTAGATTTTTAGTTATGATACAGTCCACGAAATAAAATTGTTGTTGCTGTTGTAAAGTTGTCTTTAGTATACAGTCTAACCAGCGACCTCAAAACACGAACCGTGAACCTGACAATTTAGTTGCCATATTGTGCGACACTTGATGTGTCTGGCTCAGTGAAACAAGGTCACTGAAGATATGTGTCATAATTTCGTCTGAAGCTAGGGCCCTTCTTAGGGCATGACGCGAAAGGAAGGCAACGAAGTAAGATCTCTCAAGTAACTGTATTCTCTGATGATATGTGTTTATTATGATAAAATATAATACTGCTTTTAAATATGCAGAATATCTTGTCCTTCAAGTTTTAAACTTTCGTCCTGTGAAACTTCCATCTTCAGGGTTACCTAAAGAAACACTTTGCAGCTGAAAGTAATACAAAAGTTATTATCTGCTGTAGATACAAACCAAAAATGTCAGACTTCATTAAAATAGAAATATCTACTCCTCATCAGAGGACAGAAAAGTCATGCTTTCTGTTTTACAAAGAGGTTGAAAGTTTTCTATGTAAGATAAAAAGTTGCGAAAAACTGGAAAGAATTGTCGAGCCAGAATTAAAAAAGCACTCAAAATGGCTTGTGATGGTTTCCTTTTACTACACCTGTATTACAAATTATTCATATATAAACGCTGGTTCTGTTGTCTTATATGTGTGCATTACCATTCCCATATGCATGCGGTGGCATATGCATATTAGCGAACAGGAAGTTAAATTTAACTATAATAAATAAATTTAACTTTTGGATGATGGAATATGCCAACATTTATTAACTATAATTTTAATTAACTTTAAATCTTTCTATAATAGTTTCAGACCAGAATTAGAGGACATTCTAAAAGCCCATTTTAGTTAGAAAACGTCTTCCAATCTACGATGGCTTTCTTCATTTTATTATTCATAGAGTTATGCGTCCCATCTTATCAAAAGCGTGATGGGATACTATTGTAGAGTGCGTAAGGGTTCGTAATAGACAGATTGCACAAGCCCGATAAAACGTTAATAAAATTTATTCTTATCACAAGAAATATAACAGAAAGCTAAATTTTTGCTCAGAAATATTCATACAATATCATGCAATATAATCAGTAGCTATACTTTAAACTACCAAAATGTTAAATAGAACGCAACCCACAGCACAGAGAAATCTAATCCGATAAATAATAATAACAACGGCTAACTAAACAACAACTGAGATGAGATGTCTCTCTCTGGCTTTTTAAAGCTTTTTAATCGGTCACGAGAAAGTTCTGGTAATTTTTGTTTTCTCGAGATTTCTGGAAAGCAAGACAGCAGAATTACGGTTACAGCTAACACAGTAGTCAATTACATTTATTCAATTTAAATATAAATTACGAGATATCTATTTATTATATGTTAAATGCTCGTGCTCCTGTACTTTTACTTTTCCGGCTAGCTTTCTCTTACAGTATGTCTTGTGCTGCATTGCACAGGGATATAAAACAATTTTAATTATAATTCTACTAAAAATATCTAACTAAATACAAAATCCGTAAAAATATAATAGCTTTCTGACTGACTCAGATCTTGGTTCTTTCTTTCAAAATTTTTTTCTTATCTTATGAAACGTTACTCCTTGTATATGTTTATTGTTTTCATTTTTAGATAAAAAATCTACTCCCATTCCTACCTGAAAAAAACAGAAAATGATCAAAATTCTTCAAAACGTAATTCAGATTTATGTGCAACAAATAGCCATTTCCTGCAATAGCTTACTTGAGTAATTAACCGTTTTTATAATATTTTTTTTAATTAAAAGACTGATCAAATAATAAAAACTTTGTCATCTAGGAGTAACTACATTCATTAAATTAGATGAAATTAATCCTATCATTTCAGTTTTCAGCGTTCCAGGATTTGAAACGAAGAGTTAAGTCTATGACGTAATCTTTTGGGTTTTGCAGCGAACTATAAATTTAGTAGTAAGAAAAGCGTGTTGCGCAGAATCATTTTCTTGTGAGACAGCTATGGGTAGACGCTGCTACTTTTGGATATTCGCTCTTCTCCAAATTACATGTAAGCATTTTTGTTATCAAAAATTATTTTTCGATTTTTATTTGTAGTAAAATTAATACTTTTTAGTTTTTTCGTGACTATTAAATTTTCTCCTCGATCTCTAAAACTGTTCATTTGTCCCCTTTAAACGTAATAAAGAATTTCAGGAGCTACGATTTTTTCCTTCGTTAATTTTCTCCTTAACATACATCATTGATAAAAAGTGCTCTTTCTCTCATACGGAATTTAAATTTTTAACAAATTTATTAAAGTGTAATCTTTGTTATTACTAGAGGTAATATAAAATAGTAAATAAAAGTATATTCAATTTGCAATTTCCTGCTAAACACAAAACTTGAAAAACGTAAAGAGATTTAGCATTTAAAATAATATTCCGCATTTTAGAAATTCAGAATTCTGTCTGGTATAAGGCAGTACAGTTTCTCTGTACCTAAACGAAGTCATGCCTCTTAAAAAAAGAATTACTTATATTTTCCGTAAGAGACATGACTGGTTTTAGATGCAGTAAAAATAGTTCACTTTAGAATCTGTTTTAAGAACTGTAAAAATGATTTACTTGAATTGATTTTTTTTTTCGTAAGACTTCTTCATACCTACATTCATACATTTTCTCGGTGAAAAAACTTTATTTCAAAAACTATTTCGTCGCGTAGAGAATTTTCCTTAACTTAAATTCGGAAGAATTCACTGCAGAAGACTTTACTTAAAATAGAAATGTTTGCATAGCGAAAGCATTCATGCCTAAAGCGAAAGCTTGAGTCGTTTACGCCAAACAAAAATTTTAAATGCAAAAATTAATTATATTTTGATATCAATAACTCATCTTGCATTCTCAGTGCGCAGTTTTAAAATAAGTATTTAATGTACCGTTAAAAATGACTTTAATACTTCATTGTTAAAGCGATCGCCTTTGGTAATATTCAAAAGGTAACTTAAAATGTTACTTCCTGAGAAATTATTAGAAACACATTCAAATGTTATTAAGAAGTAGCTGATATGTCTTTTTCTACGATAATTCGATGTTAACTTGGGGCATTGCTATTTACAGGAAATAAAAATTTTTAAATTTTGAAAATTATGTAAAATCAGTCGCTGAAATGGATATTTGATGTTTAATCATGAAATTCAAAGTTTGAAGCACGAAAAACATAAATTACAGTGCACGTTAGACTTAGTTCACAATAGCTCAGTATGTATATGGAAGTAGTATTTTAATTATTTGCGATGTAGTAAGAACAATCTTTCAAGTTCACCGTAGAGCGATCTTTATTATCTCCATTGTATAAAATGTAGATAAATTGATATTTTACGATATAACGAATCTGATTTTCTTACTTGTGAAATCTTGATAACACAAATGTAAATTAATGTTAATATTAGAAACTCCAAATCCATTCGCTAATTTTCCAGCGAAAGTGAAAAGCTGCGATAGATGTCACGATGTTAATGTACGTTATGCGTAATACTTTCCATTTGGCCCGCGTCAATCACTGTTGACTGGTGGCAACAATTAAACTGTAATTTTTTTTTCTTTTCAAATCTACCTTCCGTCAAATTTTGCATGTATCTTCAGCCCCAGAATATCAATGAAATCGGATATCGCGTACTAACCGTAAAAGAAGTTTGATCAGGCTTTTCGCTCAACAAAGGGTCGTATAATAAAACTGTATCACACTGATAAATCATTCTAAGTGCAAAGACGAAAATCTTATTTCAAATGTCTGCAATTACTTCTCAAAAAAGGAGTAAATTTGTTTTCTGGTAACATGTTCCCGAATCTCAAATTGTCACACTTTCTTCCTTATCTCAGAATATTTGGTGTAGTTTAAATTTTCAAGCCGGAAATGTTTGTTTTGTTATTTCATTTGTCTTAAAACACTGAAAAAAATGAGGTATTTGCCAAATTTATTAAATTACGTTTGCTGAGGGCTAGAATCATGAATAGCAAGACTAATAAAATGTAGAAAGGCACTTGTTTTGGTAGTTTGCCTATTTAAACTCTTTTTGTTTTACAATCTTCCGTAATATTCTTGAATTAATACGCGGCTAAAACTGATTTAAAAAAACTAAAACTGAAAAAGCTAAAGCTGATTTAAGACCCAATATTCGCCGAAAAACAAGGGGCACCTAATTGTAAACTTTTACTTTCACTTTAATTACTGAGAGAACCTTCATGCCAAGTTAAGATTTCCGGAATCCTCTATAATTTCGAATGTAAACAGGATTCCCTTCTATAGTCGCTAGGATAATGTTTTGCAAGCTCGTGAAATTGCTTTGTTTTAATGTCTGACACTACGTAACCCTGGTAGTTTGTTTAATCTTGATAGCTTGTCTGATTACTTATTCAAATCTTGGAAAAGATTGCTTGTATTAATGTTCATAGGTACCAGTGACCGAGCAAACTGTTAAACCCTGATAGTTAAGGCGAGTTAATTCCTGCTAATATACTGGTTGCATGAGTTTTTACCAATGTGCAGCATGAATCAACCAGTTTCCTTTACTGCCCCATGAAACATTCTTTTCTAGATTTACCCTTTTGACCTAGATCTCGTAGCGGTAATAAGCAAAATCAGCGAGGCACATTTGCCATTAAAGACAAAATAGGAATCTAGTAAAATATGTCAAAAATTTAAACTATTCTTCCAAAATTTGAGGAAAAATATCAGTTTTAGATCCGCGTAGATTTTAAATAAAGCTCTGCCAATTTCGCGATTATTTACTTAAAAACCCACTTTAGGAGCGATATTTAAGCCCGAAGCTTAAATCACTTTTGCTTAAGAGTATTCATTAGGTTTAAAAGTACTATGCTCTTACCGCAGCATAATTTCAAAGCGAAATTTCTTATGCAACATAAATGAATTGATTTCTTTCGAGAAATCAAGAACAAGAATCGGCAATGAATTGATTTCATTAATAACTGGCACCTGGCTTAAAAAATACTTGGTTAAATTTAATCGTGACACACAGTACTTCACATTTCGTCGCATATCGGCATTGAAGAAAAAAGAATGTTTCATTAGTATTCCTTGTCACTGATGAAAACACCGTACATTCAACCAAAGACAATGTGATAACGCTTTTGTACACTTAAACTATTCCGTATACTTATTCTGATACCAGACGGAAATTTAAAATTTTAATGCATTAAACAACCAAGATAAATTTTTCCTCAAAATGAATAAAGTTTCATAAATATTCAAAGACTTGTTATAAAAATGGCTAAGGCCTACTAATGGTCGAATGGATAGGATGTCTCAACACTAATAGTTCAACCCTTTCTTAAACCAAAGCTAACAGACTGGTTGCATAGTTTTCGTGGCTTATCCATGCGTAATTTGAGTATTAGCTAACTTCTTTAAATATCCTACAAAGGTATCCCTCACGTTAAATAATTTTTGCTTGCTTTGCGATAGTCTAAATCCAGGTGTTTCAGACAAACTGGTTTCACTGCATCAGTTTCGATATTATACTTTGTCGTATAGTTGGCACTTCTGTTGTTGAATATTTCCTCGGTGCTAAATGTCTCTGGTTTCTTTCCTGATAATTATCTACAATTATTCTCATTTGTTGACAACATCATCTCTCGATACCACTTTCTTCACTTTTTAAACTGAAATGGACCTTGATTTGAAATTTGTTGCAAACAGTTGAAGAAGCGTTTCTATTTCTCAAAACAAGAGCTGCTTTTCAAAAATTATACTGAAATAACCACCTCGTAAAATGAAACATAATATCAAAGCTGTAATAGCTACGCAGCCTGTGCTCATGCCGGAAAGAAATATGCCAGAACACAAACTTGGTTTGTTAGATTACGCATTCGTTTCGTTAATGCAGCACGATTTATTTTACTTATGGTGGCCACGAGATAACTATTGAGTTTTGAAAGCCAAAAGTTTCTTCAAATGTAATCTAATATTAAAATCGGTGGACGCAGTAAAATTAATGAAGTTAATTCACAAAAGAAAAATAACTTAAGCAGTATTCCTCCTTCACAGTGGTTTTTCTTAGAATTTTGTCTTGAAATTGGAGAATGCCCTTACTGCTGGTCCTGATCTTTCTGAATATAGTACAGAACCCAAATCTATGATTTCGTACTGAACTAGTATGAATTCTACAATATAGCTTACGTATATGATCTAAGTATAGAACCAAAGCTGCGAGAATAAACTAAGCTAAAATGCGCAAAAATGGCCCCGAAAATGTATGATATGAATTTTTCGATAAGTTATTTAAAATCGATAAATTACTTAAGATACAGCTTAACCATAATCTCTCCTAAAAAGCTGTTAAAAATCTTATTAAACTTTTTTCTCTACAGAAGCTATTCTTTAAGATGTTCCGTTGCCATGAGCATATAGCATACTTTTCTTACCACGACTTTCAAGCTATGGAGGTAGACTACAGTATATGATTAAGGATCAGCTTCACATCAACTGGAATTTTTCTACTGAAATATTCAGACTGTATGAAAGTTAGATCAGGTAGATTTAAAACTACGTCTGCTTAAAAATCTACGCGAAAATGAAGTGAAAATTTTTCAGTGAAATATCATAATTTTGAAGCCCTTAAAATTGTGCGAAGTTTCCTGTCTTGCAACCGAAAAATCTAAACGACTTAACGTTAAATGTTTTCCTGTAGAAAATCAACTACATCCAATCTCAATATGCATTCTTTTCAGATCTGTAAACGTTGATATTAATGATGTATTTCTACTACTGTTTTATTATATAATCTTGCTGTAGAAAATCTTTGTTGCTGTTGTTAGAAAGACCGGTTACTAGTAATTTGACAAGTTTTTAAAAAAATTTAGTCACCTACCCTTACTGCTACTTCAGAAGAAATCTAGAAGATTTCAATTGCTGTTTGAAATGTATCTGCACTGGTCGCGTGGCTAAAGCTGTGGAATACCCTTACTTCACCCGGAATCCGATTCTTATCTGCTGATGTGCTGGAGTTCTGTAAATCTTCGAAGCGTAATCCTAATAAGTTGGTCTTCCTAAAGCCCTCCACGAAAGCATCTCTTAAACAATGTTACGCAATTAACTGGCTTGTTCAAAATAGTTACCTTCTGCATAATTTAAACGGTGATAAAATTATTGATAAATCGCTAATGTATATATATCGAACCATAGCCAAACGGTCAGAAATCTGAAGCATTTTCTCCACTATTTGACATATCAAAAATCATTAGTATGAAAAACAAAATACTAATAAATGTAACAATGTGTGGCCTGCTCAGATCTCTCCACGTAACGGTGCGTATTACGTTGCATTATTAAATAAAACTCCAAAAACATTCTATGCAGCCTTCTCCGGAATTCGAACTCTGGAAATCCAAAGTTAATTGTTCTCTATTCACTTAACCGCTGACAATCGACAGTCAGTTTGTAGATTTCCTTGATACTTTTCCGATACCAAAACGCTTCATTAGCTTTAAAGATTTTCGGAAGATATTTTAAAGGTGTAACCATTCTCATGTAAAGTTTTTACTTTTAGCTGATTAACCTCTGCCAACACAGTAGGAAAGCTGCAGCTTTATCAGAAACTAATCTCCATAACATTTAGCTACTCATTCAAATTAACTTTTAGTGACTTGAACTAATCATTAAAATTAGTGATTTCTTACCTATTACGTAGTTATCTAATTTCAAACTTCTGTGTGCAAGATTACAATTATTTAATAGGAAGTAAAGCAAGCCTAAGTAGTCTACGTGATCATTGCATACATTTTTAATGTGCGAGCAACTTAGCAATTGAATATTTTACCGTTTCTTAACATATTAAGCGCTATTTCAAGTCATAGGTGATTGATAGTATACTTTCGCACAGCGTCAGTCACTGCTGAATGAAGATTTACAATTTTAAAAATTGTATTTGTTTGTCAAATCTCAATTTTTACACAAACCTCTGTCCGCCAGCATATCAATGAAATAGGATGTCGCTGGCTAAACGGAGAGGAAGCCAAAATAAGGCTTGGCGAAACGTGTTGACTCGCGTCTGATAGACTGAAAAATATATATCTATATATTCTTTCACTCGGCTTCACAATTTTGATCTTTTCTTTTATAGAACAACACCTGCCAAGCATTTTTCTGTAAAAGGATGTATACCCCAACGTTACCTATTGACCACCATTAAAATAAATGTGGTAGCCTTATCCTATAAAGCAATGCTCTTATTTCCAAAGTAATATTAATAAGATTTTCAGATACTATTCCGTTTTGAGGACCGTAAAAAAACTGCAGCGAAAATGTATGTGCAAAAGCGCCAAATCTAGCAAACGCGCCCATTTAACAGCGTGCCAAATCCAGCGTACGCGCTGATTTCAGATTGCGTAAGTTTATATAGTTCTATATTTCTTAAGACGCCATTGAAATACTAGTTTAATTTTTAAATCATTTTTTGATACCCTATGGATTTAACAATTTGAGAATTGCACATGAAGAAAAGTCTACAATAGAATTTTGGGTAAAGTGCAGATTCACCCACTGCTTGACGCGTTTTTAAGAATTGCACATACTCGGTATCCGTGTACACATCGACCTATTTTCACTTTAAAAAAAAATCTTAGATTTGCACAAAAATGTCACTGCGCATAGACTTTACCTATGTACACAACGACCTATTTTCACTTAAAAAGTAAAAGAAAATTGACAAAAATCCGATTGTTTTTACCCTTGTAAAAAGCGGCAAACAAATAAGTGAGCGATTCTGCACTTTACCGAGAATATTTTCAAAGAAAAGGCATCATTCATTATAGAAAATTACGTTTGAGCAACCAACGAGATGAAATTATGCTTTAGCGATAACTCGGTAGCGAAATAGCGATGCAGGCATCCATTCAGTTATGTTTAGCAATTTTTATATAAATTATAAAAATGATCTGAAATAGTTTTTTCTTGTGCTTCCATTCAGTCATATTTAGCCTTTTTTATATAAATTATAATAATAAAAAAGTACTATATGAAATTAACTTTTCATCTAAATTATAATAATAAAAAAGTACTATATGAAATTAACTTTTCATCTGAATTAAAATATCGATCTTAGATAGTTATTTACTATTATACTTTTCTTGCGTTCGTGTTGCAGCAATTATTTTTGGCAGCACTGGCATGAACAATAGTTTGGTGATTTTTACGGACCTCAAAACCAAATAGTACTGATTTTCCTCTATTTCATTCTATTTGTTGATATGAGGAACATGAGATATCAATTTCTTATGTATAGAAAATTTCGACAGTCAAAAATGAAGCTAAAAGTGTCAATTTCTAATTGAAATACTGGCGCTAATTTTCTAGAAAAATTTGTTTGAAATGTATTGTTACAACAGTAAACGTCCACTATTTCCAACAAAATCAACAGCAAAAATTTAAGAATTGCAATTTCAGAAATTATTGGGAAAGCCAATCCACGCGGTAAGTTTGCGACATTCTTTATTTCGCAAATGCAATATTTTAGCATCTAGAACTAAATAATTAAAATAAAAAATAAACTTAACCCAAGATTCAGCTTAAATGAAGTTTGATATTGTAATCAAACTAAACTTCATGACAAGAATCATTTCACATAACATATACATGCAAGTGTATTTCGTTTCTGTAGGTGCCGTTTCAAATTCTTGCGATTGGCGCTATTACCTTTACTACAAGGAAAAAAACTGCATTCCTATTTTAGGAAACGATGGATGTCCTGTGAAGTTCCGATGTTCACCTATACTTGAGGATATTCGTTTAAGTATGTAACAGGTTTCTATATTATACTCTCTATAGTATTAATTTCATAACTAAATTTTCTAAAATTTACAGTTTAATCTCATTTTCAATTTAATTTTTTGTGTGTTTTCAGTTTTAAGACTAATACTAAACATGCGCATAAAACCTTGTGTATCCTATGATGTGTCAATACGTTAAACAGTATTGGCATGCATTTTAAAGAATCTGATGATAATCAAACTAGTTAAATAACTTTCTCGTGTTTGGTATTTTCGCTGGATAAGTATTTATTTAGGAAAAGTATAAATGTAGCATAGCTTGTAGAGAAACTGCTGCACAGTTTAAAATAAAATCTATAGCTATTCCACTTTCGAAAAAGCGACAAATATTACGCTGTAAAATTTCTTGCCGAAAACTGGAACCTGACCATGATGTTATCTTCATACTTTTTCCAAAACTGGTATTCTTATCTAAATTGCCCCAGGTTTATGTTTTAAGATTCTTCTTAATCTTGTATAGGTGAATTACCACTTTCTATTAAAAGCTTAAAACTTCTTGGCCTTGCGAATGGACCTTGTTAAGTTTTTCTCGTTCTTCCTCGTTATACTCGCAAGCTAATGGAAAAATGATTTTCAAATAACTGACTTCATGAATGAGGAAACTCTGTTTATTTTCAGTATCTAATAAAATGATTGCTTCGTTCTAGTAAACTTAGTTTTCTAAAGGAGCTGCCTTGAGTAGGAATTCAAATGCAGAATGTATCATATTCTACTGCGAATTCAAGTTAATCTTTCAAAATAGGATCTTGGTAAGCCCGAAATGTACTTTGTCTTAATACTCTAATACGTTTTACCTAAGAGCATTTTTTAATGTAGGCTAATAAAACACAGCCTTCGCTAGGAAGTTAATCACAAAAACATCCATCACCTTAGATAATCCTCCACACCCACAATTACACACATTATTCAGTTTAAAATTTGTTGTATTTTACGACATGTATTTTCCAAGAAACTACAAAGTTTTGAAGGAAAATTTTTAAATGACTTCTCAACATTTTTAACAGATTTTCAACTTTAAATCTCAATTTTGTAGAATGACTTCAGTTAGTCACATTCCAATAAAATGTTTTGCATTTTTATGCAAAACGTTTCATCTCTATAAAAGTTGGAAAGTTCATATTAGTCTTTTCAGTATGAATTCGAATAAGAAATGTTTCGGATTCTAGTTTAAGTTCAAATAAATGTTTCTGATCCCAGTAGGGAGTCTAAACTTTAGTAAACAGGCAGTTTTTATGTCTCGCAGTGCTCTTTATCAGATAAAATTGGGATATTTCTCATATTTTGTACGTGATACAAATGGAAGCGAAATTATCATAAAGGACTTCGTAAGTAACATCATTGCTCAGGAAAATAGCCCTGAACAATAACCAAGTACGGGTAAAAGTATGGGGGCTCCCATCGATGTACCTTGGGTCAACTGGTGCCTTCCCATGCTAACTCTTTAAAAAATACAGGCTTGATAAAAATTTACTAAGAAAGTTTGAGGAAATGGGCAACTGAAGCTTTTCAAATGATCTACGGTTTACCTATTATGGTACATCGAGCAGTCCATTTGTACGCCCCGCATCCAGTATTTATTGAAAATGATTTAGATAAAGAATAAAGAGATTGTTCTATATATAGTCTCAATACAGTCTGAAATTCACAAATTAAACTGAATATCTGTTTTGATGTAACAAAAATAACAGATAAGCATAATTTTTGTAAACAGATAAGCATAATTTTTGTACACAGATAAGCATAATGAGTAATGGAAACACAATGTTATAATGAATTATAATACTAACGAGGTAGGTGTGTATGGGGTTATTTCAGTTATACAAGGTAGTTACACTTTATGAAGTTCACAAGTTGAGTCATTTTGTACATATTCACAGGATGCGAAAGTTCACTAGATCTATGCAGTGTGAAAACTAGCTTAACAAAGATCTCAACAATAATCAGTTAATCAGACTCCAACGAATTCTTAAACTTTGTGCTGTTAAATACTATAGTTCTTGATTTTATTCCATAGTGTGTTTTCATGGCGGCAAATACTATGCTCCCGGGGATTATCTCCAAGATATTGGGTCGTGCGCTACTTGCGAGTGTCACAATCATCAGAATGGTGCTTATGTCTCCTGCTCGAAAGATGTATGTAGTGACAGTCTTGTTATGCGCAATCAGTCTTGCTATGCGTATTATAAACCTGGAAGTTGCTGTCCTGAGGAAAACTGTCGTAAGCAATTACTTCTATCTATAGTAAAACAGAATTTTTTATTTTTCTTTATGTTGAGTCTGTTTTCATGCTTAAATTTTTAATTTTCTATTGTATATTGCCATCCTTCTTTCAAAGCGATTACATCTATGTGAAGCAAGTTACAAATAAAAACTCATTGTTTAAATGGCTTCCAAACGGATATTCTGATTACGTTATGTATGTAATACATGGCGTTATAAAAACATTAAATTACAATAGTAAAGTTATCAAATATGATGTAAATCACAGGAATTGGAAAACTATAAAGTAATAAATTTTATGTTAAAAAGCAAGATACTGTGTATTACTTTATTCAATTGAACTTTATGCTATCACAATATCGAAGTTGTATTAAGGATCTTGCGGAATTAAGTGTCAGGTCGTTTGGATGTTAAATGAATAATCTGGATACTCGATGAATAATCTTATCTCGCAGAGTGGCAGTCTTTGCCCGTGCTATGTAAATAAACGTTCTCACATCCGTAGTGGAACTGTGTCAAAGAATTGCAGAAATTAAGATGGCACACCTTTAGTCAAAGATGTACCTTGAAAATTAAACTAGAAATTGAGTGGAGAAGCGAAAGGAAAAGAATATTTCCTGCTTTAACAGAGATCGGTTTCAAACTTCTAGAAGGGAAGCTGATTCTTTTCATAGCCACATCTAGAAGACTATCCTACACAGTTAATAACATTTGACAACCTGAACACTAATTTTACGTATCTAAATTTATGGGTTCATATTTTAGTAAAAGTAATTATCGTAAATTGCGACTGATATGATTACAGGAACTCTATTCAGATGAGAACATACATTACACTGAAGATTGAGAAGTTATTAAGAGATCAACCTCAGGCTTTGATGGACATGAATAAAGCAAAAAAATAAAATCTTGTTCGTATTCTTTGAACTAATGTATCTTAGTTTCATAATTAACGAATCTTATTTAATTTGAGATTTTAAACACTGAAATTTTCTTTAAAGCTGAAATATGAATTTATCTGTAGATGAATTTTGCTTTACTATAAACGTGAGCCATATAAAAATAGGGTAGAATAACACCTGTCATCCTTACGCTTGTAAGAATCCAAATGCATAGTAAGCCAAAATTATTAATCCACAGAATGGTATCTGGTTTGAATAAATCTAGTCATGCATATCGTTCAAAATGTAATACTTTTTTATTAAATTTAAGTTTATTTTTTCTAAGAAAATCATAACTATCCCTAATTTATAACTTATTCACTATATGAATTTATTTTTACAAGATAAAAATTTGATCTCTTTCCTCTTTCAGCTCGCCTTGATGATTCAGACTCAAGTAAGTAACGTATCTTAATTCTTTGGAATAAACCTTTGATCACACTTCTAGAAATTAATTAGCCATTTGTTTTCTATGCGTTCATTTCAATTTTTAATAATAAAAGCAAAGATAAGTTTCAATCTTCATCTTAGTTTAAGGGAATATTAATGTATTTTGTAAAGCACTTAAAAGTATCTAGAAATCTGATAAAATTATGCAAAAAAGTATGAAGCCAGTACATACTCTTTCGGTGCTGTTTAGTTGCATGACATGAAAGAAGTGATCCATTCAGCTGCCCGAATAATATTCTATCCCCGTAAAACCAAAGGCGCGAAAAGTTTCTTCTCACACGCACCATGAGGATCTCTATACTTTCTGAAGATATCTAATGTCAGCCTTCCTTTTGAAAACATTTAGAAGCTGCTACTAAATTATATTTTTCTTTTCCAGCTTCTGTCTAAAATCCGTAACAGTTTTTAACTTTATTTTATAGCGCACCAAATCATGCTCCCTTGAAATTTGAAATTTTGTATTTTGCACTCAAACTTTACCGTTAAATACTTAACACGTTCCCTGCCGCGTGGGGCGTATGCGCCCCACGCTAAACTTTCCGTTCAAGCCATTTGGTATTATCATTGTAAAATGAAGAATTTTTTTAAAAATTCATTATGCAGTCAATTATGCTCATCTTAATACTACTGCTGATGCCCTCATTTAATCGTGGGCATTTTTTTTTTTATCGTCAGAAACAAAGTAATACAAATGTAAAGCGTGGGGCTCACACGGCCTGAACGGGAATTCTTAAAAAAACGGTCTGGCAGGGAACGTGTTAAGTAATTATTTTTCAGCTGTTTCGGCATGTAATTAGCAGTTATGCATTTCGAAAGGACGAACAAAATAAATTATCCCAACTAAGGCAACATATGAAACTTCCCTTGAATATGTTCATGGAATTTCTCCATTAGCTTGCATTCCACTTTCGATTTTATTTTTAATTTACACATTTTTCTTTCCTTATACTTTAATATATAACTTTTCCTGCCTAATACGGGCCACCAGCGGCCGAGCGGTAAAGACTCTGAACACTGGTAGTTCGGTCCGAAGTTCGAATCCCGCGAACGGGCTGGCTGCATGGGCTTTTTCGTGGTTTTTCCCATGTGTAACGTGTATACGAGCCAATTCCCCTTAGAAAGTCCTCCACGAAGGCATCCCTCCCCTTAGACAGATAGCCCTCGAGGCTTTGCCATAATCACACACGCACGTTTCCTGCCTAGTGCGTTGATCTTAATATATCTTTCCAGCATCTTTGCCTGAGGTATTCAATTTTTCAGTTCCCGAAATAAATCACTGTAATTGGTCTAAAACTTTTTTAAAATTCTTCTACCAGATTAAAAAGTTCTTAGAGGTTTCAGCAATATCAGTGTTAAGAAATATCATTTTTAAAAATTTCTGTGAGAATATCAGTTTAGCATTTCTGTGAAGAATATCAGTTTTAGCATTTCTGTTGAAGAAATATCAGTTTTAGCATTTCTGTTGAAGAAATATCAGTTTTAGCATTTCTGTTGAAGAAATATCAGTTTTAGCATTTCTGTTGAAGAAATATCAGTTTTAGCATTTCTGTTGAAGAAATATCTGCATTATATTTAGTCCATAGCCTAATATATAAGGAAATAGCTGCAAAGCTAACTAAGGGGAAAACATTTTTAAATACTTTCGAAGAACAAACTTGGAAAAATGTGTCTGTTATTATAACCTATGGCAAAAGTAAAGTACAGAGAAACTAAACAGCCGTTTGTAATAAATTTGATGGATAACGGCATGAATGTACATTCAATACGGAAAAAGAATATTTTATAAATTAAAAAAACATAAGTAAATGCAAGAAAAACAAGCACAAGTAAAGCTAAAAGGAACATACGAACTGCTAGACTACTAACTATAACAACAAAGTATTACGACTAAGCCCAGGAACAAGCAAAGAAAGTAAAACACTTCTAAACTAATAGTTTTAGATGTAAGTTTAAATATTTTAGCTGTGAAGTTAAATTTATTTCTATAAAGTTTTGACACAATGAAACTAACAATAGTTTGTGTCATGCAAAAGTATTGGTGAAACTAATTCCTATCGTTAGAAATATCTTCATTTCAACAATGATGCGTATGTTTATAATATAAGGAAGGTAATTATTAAAACATAAGAACTGAATGTATTACAAATTGCATCAGTTGGAGGTTATTAATAAGCACCACTTTTATAAATATTACTGAACTCTACTGGAAAATTTAATGTTATTAAAAGGAAGTGCACATAAAAAAATTAGTGAAAATATTTAAACGGTATCTTTAGTACCTTTTGATGTATTTCAAATAACATTAAAGGTAATAAAGATAACCGTTCCTTGCTTTTAAATTGCTCAATTATATAAGTTTGGCAAGTTTTAATTTGGAAAATAAAGAACTTGTCACATCTAATGGTATCATCTCTGAAATCGAACAATTTTCTTCCTAAAACGGCAAAGCTTCTCAGACTGAGGATAACAAATGCATATTAACATAATGCCATTCAGAGAATTGAAATGCTAAGTTATAGACGCTTAATAACTACCAGCCGTTAAATGGCGCTTCTGCCATCTTGACACTACGAAATAGATTTATTTCTGCACGTTAAAGAAACATTTAAGAAAGCTAAGTAATTAAGCCTAGTCTTGTCTAATGTAGCATTTGATACATGTAAATTGCGTGTGCATATATTTGAGAACATAACAGTTCTGCATTAAAACTTTCAAAACATTCAGATCAGTTATTTACGAATATCTGCTATATAAGCTACGCAAAATTATGTGTAGTAAACTAGAAAATAAAGTTGAAATAAAATAAAGAGCATCAAGAAAAAAATGAAGGCTTAACATATTTCTAACCATTTCTACGAGTCGTATGGTCAGTTACGTATAATAAAATTATTGAAATAGACTTGTTAATCTTCATCTAGATAGGAAGAATAATATAAACTGCTAGACACATCGATATTTGTCCTCTAAAATCGGGCATTTCGTAAGTTAATGTATAATCCGAGATATGTATATAAGCAATCGGAAGCTTGAAAGTTCTCGTAGGAAGGTTTCAAATTTCAAGTTCTTGGTTCTTCTAAGAGGTACAAAAAAAGTAAGATAAACTTTACTGTATTTAATTTTTACTTTAGCTGATAACATTTTCATTTAATGCAACGTTTTTACTAAATCTGAAAGACGAAAATAGGTTTTGCAGTCTCGGATGTCCCGTTTATAAACTGACAACTTTTAGCAGCAACACTTTTTTTGACACCCTTTTCTTATTGGAAATGCAATCTTGTTAGAAATAAGGAGAAATAAAAGCGAAGTATCGCAGTGCGTAGCTTTTCAAAGATTTTCTTCTGTGGGGATTATTTTTTCATATTAAGGGAATATACAGGAAGTTAGATATTTTTCCTTATTTTCGGTAATTGATACAGTAAGTTTTCAAAGCATTTTGACGCCATTAGTGGTTGAGTGGTTAAGATCTTTGATAGCTTTGAGTTCAGTCTGGCGTGAACGGACTGACTGCATGGTAGGTTTTCATATTACACATAGGAGAAAAGCATGAATACTAGCCAGGTTTTCTTAGAATGTCTTAGATGAAGGCATCCTTCCTCCTAGGAGGATAGGCCTCTTATATTTTGTCGTATTCCACTAATCTAAACTTTAAAGAATTTCGTTAGCTGAAAAATAAGTTGGCCAAAATAAATTGGTCTTTTATTATCCAATATTTAATAAACATTGGTTCCTAGCTTAGGTTACTGATTTTTGGATCTTATTCAAATAAGCTAAATTTAGAAAGGTGCTAAAATCAGCAGAATGGAAATTAAGCTCGCTGTTCTTTGTGGAATGATCATAGAGTAACTTGAAGAAAGCAAAGGCAATTTACTGTTTCCTGCTGTATAATGATATTCATTTACACTTTTCATAATTCATTTTCTTGCTTTTAGAAATGTAGCTGTGATTTAGGTCCTCTTAGAAAACTACGAATTAATATATGAAATACGAAGTTTATGAAAAAACTGTAGATTAAGTTTGACTATTTGAATGAACGATTTCTGGAAATTTAGCTCATGTATTTACAGAGAATATTTCTGTTTATCTTAGTTGGAATTCTGCGCAACTTAGTCAAGCTGAAATTTTCCCTCATGTTTACATAGCACTTTTAATTAACTATTCAGGCTAGCAATTTTTGACTCAAGCAACAACTCTGAGAAATTCGTGCTCGTGAATAATTAAATCTCGAAGAGGCTTGTGAACTGAAAATATCTAAATTGAAAACATTTAAGCTGATGAGTCTTCAGAATTTTTATCCTATGGCCAAACACTTGCTTCTTAAGCATACGTCGGGAACGGGGGAGCCCATGTGCCATTAAGCCGGCTTATTAACCAAAAGCATTGCCTAGGATGCTTTAGAAGCGGGATATAGAACAGATATCTTTGCATTGTATAAATGTTGAAAAGTTCCTTAATTCAAAATGGATTTGAATAGTTTAAGCTATGATAAGTGGTTATCAATGTTTTTAATATTTCTTAAAATTCCGTTACATTTTTAATTTTAGTTACGGGCTGTACGTATATGGGAGTATCGTACAAATTTGGAGACATCATGAAAACAAAAGATCCATGTAAAGTATGCATTTGTTCAGAACAGTGGTCTAATGAAGATGAATGTCAGAACATCAACTGCTTAGAGCCCATATATGGCTTTCACATCAGGAATGGATGCCTGCTTATATTCCAAGAAGATGTATGCTGTTTCATCTCGATATATTGTGGTAAGACTTGGCAAAAAATCAATTCTACTTGCATTGTGGAAATCTTGCTAATTAAGAGTGAAAGCCAATTTCTCAAATTATCAATGACATTGTTTTAATTTATGTCAAATTCATACGAATAAATTGGGAAACCCAACTAATTTTTTACTCGCTGAATTTTTAGCTGATGCTTCAATTTTAAAACAAAACGATATGCACTAAATATTTTCGTTTATTAATTTCATTGTCAAACATTGTAAATTTTTCAAAATACATAGGATAATTACCAAATTAAAAAATTATTTGTATAAATACATTATCCGTTTTTATAGTAAAACAGTAAACTTTAATTTGTATAGGTCCTAAATTTGAACAATCTTTTTAATTTTCCTCGTAACAAATTACATCAAACTGTTTTATTCGACCAAAAATTACGAATTTTAATATAAAATAGCTTCTTAAATACATATTGTAATACTCTATTAGTTAAGCCTCTAAAAAAATAAAACTTAACAATGAGCATAATTTTATTTGGCTAGAAGAATCAGGTAAGAAATTCCCATATCTGGGGACTGAGCAATTAAATTTCTACTGAATTGGATGAAATTCAAAATGAACTTGGGAACCTAAACTATTCTAAAACCGAATACTTTTAGAGCCTTTTGGTTGAGACAAAGCTTTCTCTCAGTTCCACACTTCATGATTTTTGAAATGGACCGGAGAGTCGTTTCGTAACTAAACAAAAAACCTTAAACTTTGGACTGCACGAAGAAACTTTTACTCATGAAATTTCTTTAAAATGTGGTTAGAAATATTGCTTAAATCAAACTTTAATGGTTTTAATTTTTAACTTGATCTTACTTCCTCTATAAGTAACACATCCTCTAGCTGTCATGAGAACGAATAATCATAAAATATAAACTAACTAAACGTTCTATATTGTGTGAGACAGTTCCCCCTTCAGAAATGCCCCAGAAAATGTGCTGCATTTTATAACCATTTCAACACTTTGTAAATATTGTTGACATAAATGTAGGTAGGTGCGTTTTCATGTCGTCTTTTTTTTATGACATCAGAAATACATTCAGTAAACGAATATTCGCCCTTTCCGGATAAATTTTTGTGAACTCAGGTACACAAAGACTGGTTTGAAAACTTACTTTTAGTTCCAGCTGCGTTTTGTATCTACGAAAGTAGGTAATGAAATCAAATCATTTGTAAAATTTCAGATGCATCACCTTTCGAATGCTCTGTACGCAAATGAGGAAAATTTACTTTTCGACATAAAATGCTTTGGTGAAGAATGATCTGAAAATAAATTGTTCAATGAAACATTGTATTTCGAAAGCTATGAAATAAAATTTAAGCGAATTTCTCGGTATAAAATTAACCGTGTAAGGTACAGCAAGACTTGTTTCCATAATCATACGGTTTCTTCCAAATCACTGAACATTAATAATTGAACTCAGTTGACTAAGAACTGCAGCAACATAACGTATACTTCGATAACATTCTAAATTCTCTTCTGATAATCACCTTATCTTCCCCTTCCATATTTATACTAAATCACCTTTACAATAAAGTAAAAGTATTTGATAAAAGCATTTAAAATATTTTGTAAATTGGGAGCTATGTGGTAACGTGAAACAAAATTACATTTCAGAACAGAATTTACCCTAATTTAGGAGAAAACATTCGGAAAACTAATTGATGGATATTAAAATCCTGGACTTCATCCTCGGATCAAAACTCACGGTTTTTTCTGCCGCTGATTAACTGAAATACAAAATTTTTCATTTCTTTAGGATAATTCTTTCAATAGTCTTGAAATACTATTTCCTTTTAGAGTTTGAAATCTGATACAAAGTATTGCCATCCCAACACGCAGCTAAGAAACTACTCAATAACTGGAAGAAAAACGATGTTCAAATATGCATGTAAATTTCAGTATCTACACTTTAACAGTTCAATTTTAACCCTTTGCACTCAAGAGGCGACTTTTGAGAGGTGATCATGTGATTTGATGCCGCAAATCGAGAGATGACTCTCACTCACCACTTAGTTTGATGCGGAGACTGGATGCGCGGCAATAACTGTTTACGTTTAGTTTCTTTGAAGCGAGTTTGTATGTTCTTTCTATAAAATCTTATGAAGTGTAAAATGATACCCCTCTAAATGAAGATAACATTTTCTTACCTGAAATCTTATCTTTCCTTACCTATCTCAAAGTCTGTTCTCGGAGAAATGAACCCGGAAAAGGCATCAAACCACATATTATTGTTATACTTACTCCGACAAGCCGGGCATGCATCTTGGGAATTGTTACATGAAATATCATATACAGAAAAATTAGAGACTAATGTTTAAGAAATTATGTTTATAAAGGTGTAAAGATATAAAATGTTAAAATATAAAAAATTTATACATTTGTGTGTATAATGATTTTAAGTTGCTGATAAGAAATGAGTCAAAAAGGCTGTGAAACGTCTCGAGTTGGTGGTGCACGGCGCGAAAAAGACAGAGTGCAAAGGATTAATAGAATTAAATTGTATCCAAATTCTCGGATCGGCTGTATAGTGCATCAACAAAACGCAGGGAAATAACTTTCGCAGTTATGACCTTCATTTTTGGTAAGGTATCAAGAAACGTAATTGTGTTAATACGGGAAGTTATTATAGTCGTTTTTTTCCACATGCTTTGGTCTATAGAACAGAAAGATGGAACAATACCCTAATGTGAAGTTTTGCGTTAATTTTAACATTGCTTAGGCAAACCTTTGGCAATGAGGCAATGTGTCGTAGGTTTCGAGTAGTACAAATGCTTCAAAAGTAGAACTTCCCTTGAAGCGAACTGTGGAAGACTCCTCGAGCACCACCCTTGAAAATATGAAACAAATTCTGAAACTTGTACATGTGAATCAATACAGTATTATTAACGACATTGCAGACGTATGCGCAATGGATCTATTCAGACAATCATGATGTCGATGCCAAGTTTGTCCTCCGGTCTGCCGGTCAGAAGTAACATCGTGTTACAGAACTTCTTGAGCGTATCCTGGATAATTAATCCTTCACGTCCAGAATCATCGGTGAGTCGCCGTCGTCATGCCATGATGTTTACGTGCAATAAATATCTTTTCTGTATTTGATTTCCTTCATGGTGTTGCAGTTTTAATAACCAGGTGAGCAGTTTCCTATGTCATACTGATAAATTTTTAGTTATTTGCTTGTATATCAAAAATTTAGAAACTCGGTAAATTTAGAATTTTTAAAAATTTCAAATAATATTACAAAAATACGGAGTTTTTTTTTTTGGTTGCTCCACAACGATATGCTCGATTTTTTTTTTTTTTTTTTTTTTTTTTTCGACTTGAAAATTTTGTATTAAATTTCTAAATAGTCTCTTCGCTGGATTTATTTCAAAGCCATATTTTCGGTATAGATTATTTCTATTGCGCGTATAATTTCTATTTATCGAAAATGCTTTCATAATCTTAGAGATGCTCACTGTTGCATGTGATTTAACTAAATTATCAATAACTATTTTTTGTTTTTGCAGGCACTATCTACACTAAAGACCCTAAAGTCCCCATCACGTCAAACACAGGTATTTTTTGTTTTCAATGAAAGTAGTATAGATTTTACATAAGGTGTTTCAAAATTAATGGAACAAACCCTTAAGTGATAAATCGATCACTGCGTGTAATGCATGGTCACATATAAAGTGGTAGCTGCTTCAATACTTTTCCAGTCTGCAAAATCTTTAGCAATGCGAAGACGGACAGCTTTCAAGCATGCATGTAAAATTGGATCGCACCGTCATTTTTTCCTTAATTTTATTTTTGTATTTCGTATGCTATCTTAACCTGGTTTCGCTTCTTAACTAAGTTTTATTCGAAGTTCTTAGTATAGTGTTTATACAGCTCTCTTCGCGCTGTAAAATCGTTGAACACTTATGCTGACCGAGCTCAAATCCTGGTAAACGGACTGGCTACATGAAGAAAACCACGAACTTCCATGTGTAATGTGAATACGAGGCAGATTCCTTTTAAAATTTCTCCATGAAGACATCTCTATCCTTGTACCTTTTGACTGAGATGGGCAGTTTTATTACTTCCATTCCTCACCATTCTCTCAGAGGGACACTCGGCTCCAAACTTGGTTTACATAATGAGTTTTCACTTCTCTTTTTTTATACTGAACCTGCGACGTTGGCGATTTTTTAGTTTACAGATAAAAACTCAAAACTCTTGAATAATTAGAGACTTGAAATGGATCTGTATGTATGTAAGTGAGAATATGAACATCTCTTTGTGTTCCAAAGTACTATAAATGTAATGAAAAGTTTCCTTCAGCCCCCTAAACACTTGCGTGCGACCGTACATTCATTCGTGAAGTGTTTGTTTTGTGGTGTATCATCACTCCTTAAAGCTTATTTCTTTCATTTTGAAATATTATGTGTATGTTCTCAAACTTAAATGCAGGAGTAAATTTAGTAATTTCTTAATTTAATAACTGAATTTAATTTAGTAATTGATTTCTTTCAACAAATGGTAGTAAAATATTCAGGGAAATATCTTCTCGATTTCTATGTATTTTTAATTTTGGAAACTAATTATGCTTGTCTAAAAGTTTTGGTTTTTTATTGTATTAACAGTTCTTGCCCTTTATAAACTTTGAGACAACAGTTTAATCAAGTTTTCAATAAATTTAGATTCTATATTTAAAGAAATCCAATTCGCAAAAGCGGTGATATTGAAGTGTTGTAGCTGTTTAAACCATTGACATGAATTCTCTTAATTGTGTGTGAAAAAAAGACAAATTCCTGACTTTAAATAAAGCCAGGAATTTGCAACTGAGCATTTAGAATTAATTGTATCTGAAATACCGCAATGTTAAAATTAAAAAAAATTAAATCATTTTTCTGAAGGAAGATTATCGATCTTTCTTCAAAAATAATTTTCAACTTTTCCAATAATCTGTCTTGGTGTTTTATCCAGTGTATATGCTTTTCATGCGTAATCATACAAGATTCAATCCAAGCTTCAAACCTGAAATGTAATAACCGATGCCTATGAATTTTTTCTGAAGTATCTTCAGATAATCTTCATTGTCTGTACCTTCAATGAAAACTAATTTCGCAACCCCACTCTATAAATCTATTCATCTGTACCAATTACTGAAATAGGAGTTTAAATATCGGTCTTTCAACCGCATTCAAATCTCAGCTAAGAGTTATTTCAAAGTCAAAGAAAAGCATTCTTGGTTCCCTTCTCCTCGGAACATTCATGAGCCTCTCTCCCTTTAAGCAGACTGGCTTAATGTTTTGTGAAATAGATTAAAAACCATAAATCTTAGATATCGGCTGCATATTTAGGTACGATATCAAGGAAAAAGTCTTCAAATCAGACTGAGTTAAATAAACAGAAAGCCTTAAAAAGCAAAATTTTTGGCTCGCATGAATATTGTTTTACTAAAACAGGTTACATTTATTTCAATTATTATACTTGACTAGATTTGGGAAAAAACAATTGAAATTAAAATCCTATGGCTTGATTTAAATGTTGAGTTAAGGTTTTTCAAGAATCAATGGCCGCATTGAGACATCTCTCTGATGTTAGACTAGTTCTCGAGGTATCGGACTGCATAAAGTATGTCTTGATCTAATTACATCCTAGTTCTCATTTTTTGATCGTATAAATTCCTACAGCCTTAGGCATTGTTATTTATTTATATGATTTCTTCTGTAATTTTTTAAAGTGCCAGATATGATTTTTAAGTTACTATGTTCATTGATGAAGCCTTTTTGGTATAAAATCATATTTTCCGAAAATGAACTAAGCTATACATTTTATTCTATAACTAAGAATTAAGCTGTTCTCAAAAGCTCTAAAATTTTCCCTTTCCTCTTAATTGCAAGTCATTGACTTTCTTTCCGTTTTTGATATAACGCTTTGATTGGTAGACGAAGTTTCTTAGAATTTAATGCCAATATGACACCATCGGAACTAATTTCTAATCTCTTGCTAACTTGTGGTCCAAAATTTTGTTGAATCATACTCTTCGGTGTCCGTTTAAATGGATGGCTGAGTATTATAATAAAAAAGTTTATTTTCCAAATTATTTCCAGAACTCCTGCAAATTTTAACAATTGCTATTAAACTCCAAAGTTGTCATATGTTTCCCAGTGCATAATGGTTGCTCTTGCTGTTTCAAATGGAAATTTTTGCAAGGTTAACGTTAATAATTGCAAGTAAATCTGTCGCGTTTCTACCGATACTTGGATTGCGACCAATTCTTTTCTCATTATCAAATTCTTTAACGAATGAATTTACCAAATAAAATAATTAGCTCATCGTACCTTTCAAGCTCGTATATTTGGTACTATAACACATATGAACTACCAATAGAGATATATAGGAATCAAAATGCTTAAAGCATTGGATAACGAGCGTGATTAATTTAACATCGAATTAGTTTTTTGTATTGCTTACAGTGGCCATTGCTTAGATCAGCGTGTTCCAACCCTCAGCCCTCTTATTCATTTTGTTGGCACTTGCCCTTCTTTACTGGAAAAGAACTTTTCAACATTTGGAAAAATAAGACCCTTCTTAATGCTTTAAATAATGAATATAATTATATGAAATATAATAAAAATTATAAGGCTCGGACAATGAAAACTGTTGTAAATATTTTAAATTCAATAAGGGGAGGCAAAGCCCAGACACAGAGCATTTATTGCATTTGTGGATTTTGGATGCTGAGTATGGTGACATTTCATTGTACTGTCAAGTGTGCTAGCTGAGTGCTGAAAATTGTCTGCAACAGTGTTTTGGGTTGAGGAAAATCTTGCTTTTCTGAAAGATTTAAAAATGTTTGATGTCTAAATGTTTTAAACTAGAAACTACAAGGTAGAAAACAAAATATATCCCAACTTTATGGATATACAGAAGACTTTAGCAAAAAAAATTAATGTAATGCAAGTTGCACTGAAGGCAAATAATACGGCACACTTCACATTTTGTCAGCAGCTAAAAGAAAATGAGACAAATTTTAGTATGTTTCATGAAATAATTATCGATATTAAAAAAGAGTTCAAGGACAGATTCCTGAATTTTGATTCTTTAAAAATAACTTTCATTGTTAAACAACTCCATGGAGATTGAAGTAATTGAGGTTCCTTGCGACCTTCAAATGGAAATTTGCGATTCTTCAGGCAGATCTATTCTCCCAAACTAAATGGTGTGATGTCACTGAACATTTCTGGAAACTGATTTCTAAAGAACATTTTCCCAAACTACATAAATTCTCTTTTGCAAATGTTACCGCTGTTTGGCAGTACATATGCATATGAAAGTGCTTTTTCTGCTCTCAAACAAATTAAATCAAAAAAGAGAAATCTCACTGAAAGTGCTTCACTGGAATCAAGCCTGAGACTTGCTGAAATTACAGTGGACATTGACAAATTTGCAGCAAAAATGCAGTGCCAATCATCACATTTATTTCTATACTGTAAAATAAAGTGATATATTAAGCTATTGATTTATATGTAATTCATTTTCTTTCTTTAATGTCTTTGGCCCTCACGATACGTTTTATTAGCCCCTCGGGTAACTAAAGGCTGGACCACATTGGCTTGCATATTGTGGTCATTGCTTAGATGTTGTTTAGATATTGTATTAATTGTTCAAATTTATTGCCTTAGCCTACCACAACCATGCAGTACGATTGCTGAATATTAATAACCCAAACCTTTTTCGTATTCGGGCCAAATGGCTGACTAGTTTCCCTTGAAATTACTTGTATGTTGGTCATAATCTAATCCTTTAAGTGGCTGGGAAGCATAAGTGAAGAGCAAAATCAGGCTTGCAAAAAAGCTTTTACATTAAATACTTCAAGCAGTAGATACTTTCAGAACATGTAGGCAACTGAAGAGAAACATTTTTGCTTTACAACAAAGGATGACTAACTTCTCTATAATAGAGATATAAACTTTACACTGACAAGCATTCACTACCGTTACATATTTCTAAGCAATGTAGCAACTCAACGTAGCCCTTTCTAGAAATTTCCGGTTAAGAATTTGGGAAGGTAGCCTTATGAACATTTTTTGTATAATACAATGATAGTTTATTCAGAATGATTAGAAATTCATTTTATTGGGTATCAGTGTCTCTAGACTAGGGTTGTAATTTTTTGTCTCCCTTCAGAGGAGTTAGAAGTTAGCTTTAAATTTGTCACTTTATTTTTCATCTGCTACTGAACGAGCGGCTAAGGCAGCTGATGATTTACCACGAACCCTATTCGCAATTATTTAAACAGCTGGATTGATAAATTCAATTGGTATCCAGCATATATAGTATAAATACGAATTTGGATCCTTTAAAATCCTGCACAAGAAATCTTATAGTACTACCAGAACTTTGTATAGCCCAATATCTTAACTCTTATCTTTTATAGCCCAATCTATTTACGTACATTCAGTTCCTGCTTGCTTCTAAGTGAAAGCCTCATTTTCATAATGTAATTATGATGGAAAGTAAGTTTTCATTTTTTCGCTTGAAAGACTATTTTAGGAATGCAGAAGATTCAATAAGTAGTCTCTTTGTAGTAAATAATGTGATTTAAAAACATCTAATCTGAAACTGTGATAATATAATTGTTGCGTTAAAAATTAAGACTGATTTGGATGGAAAGTTGCAACCTTCAGGAAATGAATGAGACTGAAAACAAGGCTTTAAATCTATAAACTAGTTAATTTTAATAGGTTTCTTGCATTTTCTTAGAATGCAGAAAAAGGCAAAACAATTTTCCTTTGTAAATTTATTTTCAACGGCTTTCATTATACAAGGTGCCCAAAACAGAATGAGATGTTCGAAATCGACGTATTTATTGCACTGTGGTTTACGTAGCGAGAAAGACCAGCGCGGAGCGGGTTTTAACATCTAGATTTTGGGGGCTCGAATTGCGAAAATGATAGAGGTTGTCATACCAGTTGTCCTTTTCGACATGTGGAATGAGCGAATATAGAAATGGTGCTAACACAGATGTGTACTAAATACCGAGTAATAATTTAAATAATGTTCAGTTCTTTGGGAGATTTTACTTCCCCTAATTATTCTTAGAAATTCGTGGACTTGAGATGAAAAGTAAATGTCATAAATGTTAGCCCCCGAATTAAGATAAATTTAAAACAGTTACTTTTTATCTTAATTCGGGGACTTGAGATAAATTTCAGTTACTTTTTATCTAAAATTCCACCTCTGAGTTCTACACGTCTTAGGGAATTCGAACTTTTAAATGCAGTTTGTTGAATAGATAATGAGTTTTCCTTTCAGCAGCAACTTCCATAACATTCATTGTAACATGCTGTAAATGTAAAATGAAGTAATTTTTTTCTCTTATTTTACAGAAGATTTGTGTCTATATGGAGGAGAATATTACGAGCGTGGAACTGTAGCTTTTCTAAATGATGATCCAGAACAGCTCACTACATGCACATGTAAAGTACCTCCAGATTTCACATGCGTCAGAAAAGCTTTTTACCGAAACCAATAAGGAAATGTAGAGTTCATTATCCAAAATATGAATAAGTATCGAGCACAAAATTAAGCGTGTTAGCTGTCTCCCAAATTTCTTCAAATTCCAATAAATGCTTCACAAAATTATCAGAGTATTTGCTTTTACTAATATCAGTTTCACACTTCCTCAAAAAGCACCAAAAAATTTCTTTACTAAAATTGTTTCTCAAGTCTTTAAAATTAAGCTCTTTTTTATTCCAGCTTCAGCAACAGGATTTCTTTAAAAATGGATTCGAAGATCCATTTTTCGATATTGCAAAAACAGCCTTTTTTTCAAACAGCCTTTTTGATGGCTATGGTCAATGAATATTGCAAAGCTGGTATTTCAAACTTTCGTCTGCAGTTTCTTTTATACAAGGAACGAATCGTGAATTCAAAGCACGTAAATTGTATTAGGCTTCGAGCTTTTTAAAGATGTAGATAACTGAATTAAAAACATTTGTTCTTTGCAAGATCTGTACATTTTTCCACAGATAAATTACTCGTACTTAATATCCTAACTAAATTGCTTGTCTGAAAACATAATTGTGAATTATAGGTACATTCGGAACGTTAAGAATAACTAATTTGTCTACTTTTAAAAATTAAGAACTTGTATCATTATTGGGTTTGGGGAGTAACGCAGTCTTGCTCATCCTCAACCTGAAATTCTCTTTACAAATATTTCAGGTAAACCATCTTGAGATGAATATTAAACGTGACATTAACTGGATCTCTATCAGATACTTCAAGAAATTATTAGTTAATAAACATTCTACTGACCAGCTTTTCCTACTGGAAAAAAATTACATGGTTAGCATTATACAACTTGGAAGTTTGTGTAAATTTAAAAATTTACAGAACTCTATACTACATAATAGTAAAGGGCAAAAACATGTACCTACAAGGCCTGCCTTCGGCCATAGTTCTTTAGTTGCACTGAAAGTTAACATGGAAAACAAACTAAGCAAAAGATTCATTATTCTCATGCTTTCCTTTTTCCTTCGAGTAAAAATCTGAATGAAGACTCCCAAAAGAATGCAGTTTCTCATTAGGTCGCGGAAGATAGGATCATTCCATCGCACACCAAATTAAGTCTGAAAACGTGTTCGGATAATACACCATATGCAGTGGCAAACTGCATCAAGCGCAATATCTTGTTGCTGAAACGAGATCAACCTGACAGAAAAGCGGAGTTTAATATTTATACCCGCAAAAGCAATTTACGTAGAGCGCTACTGTTGGTAATTTCCTTCACTTTCCGACTTGACTGGTAGAATTTCTGTTTCTCCAGAAAATCGTCAAAATCGGTTTTTCTTCATTCAAAGAGAAATATTAGTCGACCGGATCTCCATGGTATCATAGTATTCCCAATTTTTCTTTTTAATAATCTCCGAAAAAAATCACGTCGGTCAGTCCGCACATCCACACAAATTCTCTCTCGTATTTATTCATTCTGCTTTCCCTTTTCAGATATTTTCACACTTTCCACCATTATCACCAATGAAGTGTGCAGACGTTAACCCTTCTTTGATAGAGGAATACTGTAGAACGCCTAGAAGCTGATCAGGAACCGAATCATCGCATGAGAAGAACAAAAAATGGTGCAACTAACGATTACCATTTAATGCCGAGCAGAAAACACTGTCTCACACCGAGCAAAGGAAGACAAAAGTCAATTCGCGAAGAATGCATTCTAAAAATAATTAAAGTTATAACTATAATATGTTTAAAAACGACAGCTCCCACAAAAGCTACAACCTAAACTGTTAAAAGGAAAATTCTTTCATCAACACACGAAAAGAACTTTCCGCCTGTTTTATTCATTGTCTTAATATCAACTCCGTTGGTTATTTTCATAGTCAAATAAATATATACAATAGTACCATAATACATACCAAATTCAAATACGAAAATTTTTTATAGTACAAAAATATACTATACAAAAGAATACATATTAATAAAGCATAGCGCATTCATTACCACAGTCTCTAGCGACTTGCAAGACCCATTAATTAGGACTCCAAGAATTAAATTCTAACTTAATGTCCAAATCTTCTCTCAGCAACCGAGAACTTATCTTTCAAAATGCATAATATTCCTATTCTTACCTTCAAACGAGCCGAGAACACAACAAACTTTCCTTAATCCCTTGGGTACGCATTTATTTGAGAAAAATCTTTGCATGTGGAACGGATATAATTTTTGGTTGCTTGGAGTAGAATGTAAAAGCAGTACATTTTACGTAAGAATTTATTTCTAAAATATTGGTGACATATGTATTAAGATATCTTCAAGTAATTATAATTGCAAAACCAAAATAAATTCAAGCTATAACAAAAAAACCAATTACTAATAATTATGCAGAGTGATATTTTTCAAAGCAAGTAAGTAAATACAGTGCTACTTTGCATTGTTTGCACTGCTACGTAGTCTTTCCTAATATTATGCTTATAACAAACACAGCACCTTTTTCCAGGGTGTTGCTTGGACTTGATTGACGGAATGTTTTCAGGAAAGTTGCCCAATTTTCGTGCAAACGAAATGGTTTGTATCGTTTACTTGACGGGCGTCCACGACTTTTATAATTGGCAATGACAATTGCTCCGCAATTTATCGGCAATAGCTAAACGAAAGGAAGTAATGCCTACCTTGGTTGTGCAGTTGATTTTAGAATATAAAATAGTATTATAAAAGAATAGCATTATAAAATGCCATATCTATTAGATAAAAAAACATTTTTCTTATAACCCTTTATACACATTTTCTCATAACTGGGAAGCACGCTAGCAATTGGTCTTGTTTATCAACGCCTCCACCTTTATTATACTCAAGCACAGATGCCGGTTTTATAATATTTTCGCTATCGCCACCTTCATTTTTTCTCCTTTTGCCTGTGTTTATCAAATCAGCATTTGAATGTTTCGTGCTAAGTATGTGAATCATCCACTCCTAGGGAAAACAAGTGAATGACGTCTCTCAGACGTCAAATGTACCCAAGAGTTTAATTTTTGGTTTGACGTCTTAGACACGTCATCCGCTCCTAGGGGGAAAAAGTGAATGACGTGTCTCAGACGTCAAATGTACCCAAGGGGTTAAGAAGTATCTTCTCTTAAGTAATGTTGTTGTATAAAAGTATTTTATTTCTTAGAAAATGTTTCATTTTGAGTATGACATACTTAACATGTAAAGTGTTTACAACCAATAGGAATAATAATTTATGGAGGCGTTCAGAAGCCCGACAATTCATCTTGTCAATTGATAATCTAAACTTCGGGCATGAATTATCACCAGTTGCAATATGTGCATCACAAAATGACGACAAAATGATTCGCTTCCACTTTCGTCATAGTTGTCATGTATTACATTTGCTACTCGTTCATTTGAACAATTCTTATAAATATTCCGCTATTATAAAGACTTTTTATTTCTCATGCTCTTACTGCTTACCGAGCTTCAGTTTTCACATTCCACAAACATTGTATTTCGAAAATTGTTACTTTGCTGTTTCCTTTAGCACGTTAAGCCCCATATCGGTCACCGGTGAGCAATACTAAACTTTCCGTTAAGACCGCATAAGTCACTGGTAAGTGACGGAATACTTTACGTTCAGGTAGCTTCAGTCACTGTTGCCTAACGTTATATAGTTTAAAAATCATACTCTACTAATAAAATTATAATAGAGATCATAAATGAATGTATTTAAATATTACTTGTTGCCAAAAGAATTTTTAATGAGTTATGTAAATACGACATACACAAAAATGATTGCCCTTTACAAAAATGAAAGCTGATAAAACAAGCTAAAATTGTGCTGCTTTATCTCCATAACAATTTTTGCAACCTCATCGAACTTTAGGCACTCTGTTTTCTGTTGCAGGTTTCGAAAAGATACGGCATATATTTACAAGTACTGCTGCCATCCAATATTGCGGGTTAAACGAAAAGGAAGACACAGCTTGGAGCTTAATATGTTCAAGTTGTAACCATGAATCGTGTTACATCTTGTATGTTCAATTCTGTTTTGGCGTATCCATATTCGCAAAACATGAGCTAAATTTAGATGTTGAGTAAGAATATATACGAGACCTTTATAAATCATTTCAATTACTTTTAAATCTTATAATATTATTACGGCATTTCGAAAATAATTTTAATTCATGTTCGAAGTTGTGTTGTAGTCAGTGTGGACTTACTTTCTTTAAGATTTGTAAATATCAAAATTTGAATCCCGGCTTTATTCACTGAATTTAAAGTTGGTCACAGTAGATATCTATTGCCTGCTATACCCTGAATGTATAATTAAGCATTTTTCAGCATAAAAAAATAAATCTTAAAAGGGGAAACTATCATTTAATAGTATTGCTCTGGAAATCATTTATATACTGAAAAACATTGCATTTAATTTTATCATTTGAAGTACTGCTTCTCACACTGATTTCGAGAGTTTAAACTGAGACAAGTGTGTCAGCGACGTAATAACTTCTTTTCTCTTGAAGTAGGAATTAAGTAGGAAGAAAAACAGGTTATAGAAAAGCTTTCTCTTTCGAGATAGGTATGCATAGACAGGGCTGCGTCTGGATACTTTTCTCTTCGTCTCACGTAAGAAAGCTTCTTTCCTAAAAACATATTTATGTTCTGATGTAGTTAATCGTTTCCATAAAGCATTTCGTACTTCTTCTAATTATTATAACAATTTATTATTTTCTTGCTCAGTCAAAAATAATTTCAAGACCCTATAGATTCTTTTTTCTTTCTCCTACAATAACCGCCAATGTAAAATCGGTTCGATAGATATCGCTTACAGTTCAGGAATTAAACATTTTGTTAAAGGAAATTAATCTTTGATGACGATTATGGAGCAATAATGGAAATGAATTATTGCTAGATAAAAAAAGGGTACATATCCCAATAAAAAATCAAATAACTGATAGTTTCTATTTTATTAAAAATGAGAAACTTTCACACAGAATTTTATTGAAAGCTAAGACATTTTTATTGTGATCGCAGAACGCGGGCACACGTTAAGCGATTGGCGGGCGTCATGGGGCCTGCGAGCATAGGGTTAGGAAACCCTGATCTAAATAGTATATTAAGTGTAAAATTGTTCA